TATCTGTAACCACAAAGGTCTGCCAAGTATCCGCCCAGAAAGGCTGTGCCACTCCAGCCGACCCTGCTCATGGAGAGCAGGGCATTCCATTTCCCTCGGTGCGCAGAGGGAGTGAAATCCGCAATGATCGAGTCCAGCAAAGGCTTGAAGCAGTTGCCCAGGCCACGTCGAAGCAGAAAGAACGCGGACAGAAGCTCTGGTGACAAGTCGGCCGTGAGAAGAAAGGTGCTGCAGGTAGAGAGCACGACTGCGCAGAACATCGTGAGGGATCGGCCAGCGTGTTTCGCCACTCGTTCGGAGGCTTGGCTGCAAAGGGCACCTGCCAACGAGGCCGCTGCCTCCAGCAAGTAGATGTTCGTCATGGAAAGCTGGACTTCGTTCGTAAAGAATAGCACAAAGAACCTTGCTGTAAGTCCTGCAGTCGCAGTCGACGTGACGAAGAACGTTGCACAAAGGCACGGCACCGTCGCGCAGCATCGAGACACCCGAGGGCGCCCCGACTGGGAAAGTCCCGCCTCCGAGTCTTCCTGAAACTTTGGGAACTCCGAAGCCTCCGGATCAGCCATTCTAAGGATAGCCATGGACATGGGCACCATGATGGAGAGCCCACACCATAGGCTCAGCTTGATGCACCAGATCTCCTCGTGCGGTAGCTGCATCACCAGGGCGGCGAGCAAGGTGGCGCAGGCAGCGCCTAGAAGCTGGAGGATCCAGTTCTTCACGAAAGCAGGTGCGCGTTTACCCTGGGGCAAGGAATCCGTGAAGATGCTTCGCCAGGAACTGCCAGAAAGCTCCTGAAAAACTCCCAAGAACAAAGCCATCGGTGCTACGAAAGTGAGCTCATCCGTCAATAGGAGGAGGCTGCCACAAGCAAAAGCGGCAAAACCAGAGATCACGGAGTACCGCAACGGATACACCCTGTGATCTTCGAAGCGGTCCACCAACCAGCCTACTGGAGCAGCAATGAGCAGCTTTACAACACCATTCAGTCACACCAGCACTCCTACAGTGGAGTTGGGGTGGCTGGCAGAAAGGAACCACGGACCCTTTCCAGCACCATCTGCGAGCCTAAACAGGTAGATGGTGAAGACTGGGCCCAAGAGGAGTTGCTCCATCAAGCCAGCAAGCAGTGATAACGCCTGAGCGCTTTGGATGTTCCTCCTGCATTTGCAAGCCTCTGCCTCTGCCCCAGAAACAACTGCTGATCTCGCCACCGGCTGGTTGCCTGCATGTGCCATGGCTAATCTTTGCTTGTTTCTGGATTTGTTGCGACATGGCCACGGGGCAACCGCTTGGAAAACCCGTGAAGCCCACGAGCGACACCGGAGTACCATTACATGTCAACACAAATAAGTTACACACCTGAAGGGTAGACATTTCCGATGCATAATATCTCAACATCATTCCTTTGCCACGGTTGCGTAGTTCCAAAATCCCAACTTTCCAACCCCAAAACCACCATGATTAAAACCGAGTTTGAAGCCTGTATTCGATCAACTCATGCTGTGTCGTGTGCCGTGTGCCGAAAAGCTGACTAGCAAACACATGCTCCCTCCTTCGATTGCAGCTCGTTTCCGTTTTCCCTAAAGGCAAGACTTTCATCGTTGTTCCGGGATTGAAAAACCTGCTTGCGCGTTCGTGGTAATAAAATGCTTTGAACGAGGAACCGTTATTTCCAATCTTAACGAAAAATTAAGGTTTGTTTCTCGTCGTTGTCTCCAAAATAAACGATTTCTGCTGCGACAACCGGAATGTGTTGTATTTCATGCTCAGCTGTAAAAACTCATGCATGTGTGTGAGCTCTGCAGCTGCTTCGTGTACGTACTTCAAGTATTTGTCTGTCCTGAGTTCGGACAAAGCACAGGTTTCATTGCGAGTATGGTTCGTGATCACATCAGCTGAGCAAGCAACTTCTAGTGCCAGAAGGATAGAAATGCATCTTCGGCCCAAACGAGCTGCAGACTTGTTAAGATCCTACGAAAAGTACAGTGGCACTTGTCCTAAATGAGCCGCAGTACCATAAACTCTGTCCAACAACGTCCGCCCAGCTTCACGAAGCGTTTCCTTCACCGTTTGTTATCCTCATGCTCCAATGGCGTTGCATCCTGCAGCTTCAGCTCAATATGGTGGGCACACACGGCCTGGATTCGTATTGCATGCACGTTACGACAGCTCCGTCCCGCGATTGTTTTTCCACTGCAATGCCTACGAACCCTCAAACCATGTACTCCGGAACAGGAGCTGTGTACTAGCATCTCATCTTGCGTTAGCTCACCAGGCATGTTAGGTTTGCCCTGACGTTTTGGTCCAGCTGCATTCAAGACTACGTAGACTTGCAGCCTGAATAGTTGTTTTACAGTTTTCTAGTCGTAGTGTTTCGTGTGCACCCACCTAGGTGCAGCTTTTATGCAGTATTCGCCAAGTCAGAAATCTCGGCACATGAGTAAAGTTTGCCGTTGTTGTGCATTGACAGAACAAATGTAATACTGTGTTTTAAAACAAGTGGCTGGTATTTCTATGGGCCTTGGACAAGTCGTGCAAAAGTTTCCTGAATTGGAAATGATTGGAGCTCCAACTACAGGGCAACACAGAGCAAACAGAGCTTGCTCCAAGCGTCATCACATCTAACCACAGGACACGCAAGCGAAAACAGAGCTGGCATAGTTTCCAAGAGTAATCCAACTTTATGACCCATGAAAGGGAAACAAAGGCTTGTGAGGCGGCTCCAGCGTCATCCAAACGCTTGACGGAAACAGTCTCTTACATCCAAAGCCAAGAGAAAATAAAGAGCAACAAAGGGTTTTCTTTCCCTAGATTGTTTTTAATCACACCGAATCCAAAGTCCATTGCTGGAGCATCGGCCTCCAAAAGAAGCTTCAATGTCTTGTTTCTAATCCGAAATTTTTGCAACGTAAAAAGTCCAGAAATGACCAGGCTGGCCTGGCTCTTGGGTTGGAAACGGAAATAGTCCTTCGAAACAACCTTCAGAAAAGAGCTCCAACTGGGTCTGGGTTTTATCATGCTCCTCTTGTCAGTTCTTGGAAAACTTAAAGGGACTCACAGAAACCGAACCCATGGGTGAACACCGCAACGCTGTGAAACGCGAAGAAACATCCGCAAGGATCTGTAGGGATCTAAAACGACAGCGCATCTTGACTCTTTGGATTTATTTTCCTTAATTTTTTGTCTAAGCAAGAGAAGTGTTCTCACAAGTCTGCAGCACCCGCAAAGTCCGACTTGACGCCAAATGCACGCACCGTTAACTTCTTCTTCCAACGCGTCTGGTGTCGAAAAAATTGACTTGCCTAACTCTCTTCTTTTACCTAAAACTCTGAGTTCGTAAATCTCTCAAGTCTAAATTCTTGTACTGTACTTGCTCCAGACTTAGCATGGCTTTGAAAAAAGACAAACATCATTTAGATGACTTAGTGGGTCGGACGGCGGCAGGTTTTTCACTTTTTTTTGCCCAATAGTAAAGTTCTTGGCCAATTTGACAGTTTTCAAACTTCGAATCAAGAGAGCAATGTTTTGATTGGGTTTGAGTGGATGTTTGTCTTTCACCACCTAACTGCACGCACGAGCGTTGATTCAGAAAGTCAACGCTGTCAACGATCGTGCATTCTGGGTGGATGCAGTCAACATTTGCCACTTTTTTAGAAGATTGCACAAAAACGGAAAAAAACTACACAACGCTTCAAACAATAGAAAATGCATCATTTTGGAAAATATTTCTCTTGTCGAAAACTGTTGTCAACAACAGAAAGGGTAAGATGAGTGTCCGAAGACGAGCACGCAGCTTACTTTCCAACGATTGAAGACGTTGTTCTAATGTCTTCAAACTTAAGTAATCTGCTTTGCCGATGATATGTTTTGGTATTTGCTGCACTGTTAGCACGTAGATTTTTGCTTGCAGATGCCTTTAGAAGTAACTCGACCTGATTTCGATCTTGATTTTGACAGATTTGACGATTTTTAAGGCCGCAAAACTTCTCGAAACATCATTCTGTTGGAGTGGAGAATCTAGAAAAGAGTTGATCTTTGCGTGACTCGTTCCAAGGGTCGCCTTGCTTACCATAACCAGAGACTCCAATACTTCCTAAATA